ATCAAAAACACACCTCAATGCCTTCCCTGTAGCAACAGTAGCAACAAACCTAGGTACTCATTAAAATTAACGTTATTTAAATAGGAAATAAATATTACAATTATCAGGGAATATTTTAGTATAAATCCAGCCAGGTAAATGGAAATTCGCTTAGTCTGCAGGTTTGCTGCTTCGGAGGTATTATTTGTTTAAACTACTATTAAAATAGGGGTTTAACATTACAGCATATGTGTTTAGTAATATATTTAATCTGAACGTTTTAAGTGGTTACGTAAAATAGTTTGATCCAGGTAAGGTAATAAAAGTTTAAAATCAAATCAATAGTTTGTAACGTCATACGCAGACACAAGTGATTCAATCTGGTGAAAAAATGAATAGTTCAAAATGCAATGTCAATACTTAAGAGTGAATGCAGTAAGAAGGATTTTAGAAACCCTAAAACTGATTTTGTACCTGGAATGATGTGTAAGATACAATCAAGCAAAAGAACAACCCTTATATGGTAAAGAAAACATCAGGAAGTAGTAAGCATGAGTTTGACAATGCCATGGCAGCCAAATAAAGAAATATGGAAGGTAGTCTGACCTTTAAGTAATATAGTAGCAGCAAAGATATAATAGTAGACTACTTGTAAAAATTTAGAAGAAAGTTAGTCAAAAGAATTTACACATTTTTTAATACAGTAATTGTGAAATTGGGTTGAGTAGTCCAGTTACTCAATTAAACCACTACTAAACTCGTGGTTTAGTATAGTAATATTTTTGACAACAATTTTAAAATTCATATACATTTGCATTTTATACCATATGTACAATTTATTATTAATATTACAAGTAATATCAATGATATTACTTTAATATTTAAAAGTATATTTATTCATATTCTAATAAATTAGGATTATATCCTTAATTTATTAGAATAAATCTTTAATTTATTAGAATATATTCTTAGAACGTACATTTGCCTTCAGCACTTAGGAAGAATTGAGGCCACTAGAAAAAATTATTAACTAAGTTCTATTTAGTGTAATAACTATTTTGAGACTATATCTTAGCATCCGAGTTAATGTTACTGTTATCAATATTTGGATATATCATCCTAGAGTGCCAAGTTTTGAATTGGAGATCTTGTGATGGCATTACTATAGCTTTGAGCCACGAGATGCTCGGTAATCCGCCCTGTTTATAAGCCTGTTACGCGAGCGTGGAAAATGTCCCTCGAAATGGAGAGTTCCTTTATCAGATTATTGTATTTTGTTAAAGTTAAAATACCCTTACAACTGTAATACTGTACTTTAATCGTCTATAATACATTATGTTTCAGTCCTACCATCATCCCTTTTTATATATTTTTTGATCAGCTCAAGAATTATTGGAAATATGTTTGTATAGCAACAGAATTGATCACTCACTTTACCATAATCACTGTTTTAGTTCAATTGTTGGGTATAGACAGTTTTCAAATTAAATTGTATACATGTTATATGAATGGATGAAACATTTGCTGAACATGTGGATGAGAGACGGTCGTCAATAGTACATTTGGCATGAGATTGTACAGGTTGCCGATGTTTTCGCGATCGTTCGGCAATTAATATCCAAGAAGGCTGGCAGGTGGTTGATAAGGCCAAGGCCAGAGCGACCCCACCTGTCTTGAGAGGTTCTGAGACAGGATTTGGGGCTTCTGATTTTATAATGAGAAATAAAGTGGCAGCTCTAGATAGTTCATTATAAACTATCAGGTAAATTAATTTAAACATATAAAAGTATTATTCCATATAATTAAATGCGTTATTACATACTAGCAAGGTACCGTCCTTCGTACGGGGTTGGCATATTATAAGTGTAAAATACGTATTGCAGTTATACTTTAACTTAGCGTTTGCAATGGGGGAGGACACAGTTTAATAAAATTGGATTCTTTAAATTTCGGCATTTCTTTATTACACATCTACCATATCCATCATGTTCTACCACTTCACCTAAACAATAGAGGAAAATAAATGATTAAAGATTCGAAAAATATCACGAAATATTCATGCAATTAATAACATAAACATAACTGTAAACAATCTTACTTTGACAGTTCCATTGCCTATCGCAGTTTTTTTTGCTGCTTAGCAAATTAGCAGTTTTCATAAATGCAAAAAAATAATAGTGCTGCACCCTGTTGGGAAACCTTATAACTTTTTAATAGTTTTGCATATCATAGAATCAACTCTTTTGGTTGAAACAGCTGACTAAATTTTAATTCCCTTTAAATATGAATACTCATAAGGAGATGGGGAACTACAGAGCCACTGGGGTGGATCCCAAAAGGATTTTTAAAAAAAGTACGCCTATATGTTAATCGGGAATATGAGCTATCATCATGCCAGATTTCAGCCCAATCCGTCCATTAGTTTATGCATGGTTGAACTTCAAACAAACAAACAAACACATAATCTTTCACATTTATAATCTACTAGCAGAGTTACCGTCCTTCGTACGGGGTTGGCATATAAGTATAAAATGCTTATTGCAGTTATACTCAAGCTTTGCGTTTGCAATAGGGGAGGACCATTTTGATACAATTTTCTTCTTTATGATACGGTATACTATAGTATTACACATCTACCATAGCCATTATGTTACACCACTTCACCTAAACAATAGAGAAATAAATAATTAAAAATTCACAAAATATCAAAGTTATTAATGAAATTCAAAACATAAACACAACTCTAAGCAATCCTACTTTGACGGTTCTCATTGCATATCACATTTTTTGTTGCTGCTTAGTTAAAATGATATATTTTCATAAATGGAAAAGTTATAGTGCTGCACCCTGTTGGTAAATCTTATAACTTTTAATGTTTTTGCAAATCATAGAACCAACTTTTTTAGTTGAAAGAGCTGACTAAATCCTTTAATTCCCTTTAAATATGAATACTCATAAGGTTAACATGGGGAATTACAGAGCCACTGGGGCGGAGCCCGAAAGGATTTTTGAGATAAGAATATGCCTATATGTTAATGGGGAATGTGAGCTATCATCATGCCAAATTTCAGCCCAATCCGTCTAGTAGTTTATGCGTGATTGAACTTCAAACAAACAAACAAACAAACAAACAAACAAATACACAAACTTTCACATAGTAAGATAAAGAGCAACACGCTGAGTTATGGTAATTGACACTTAGGAAACAATTTCGCCTTTTACTGCTGGTCAAAGGTACTGCAAGTTGGAGGTAATATATTAATAATTTCACCCGGAGTGGTTTTACAAGTGTCACTGTGAAAATTAAAAATGCAAAATTTATTGTGTCTGTCAAATAGTTGAGAGGTTTTTTCATGCTAACAAACTGAAATTGGATCTGACAAGTCTTTCATTTATTCCATTTGGATAAAGGTGACTGTTGCCACAAAACGTAACTAATGTTATGTGATTTAGTTATGACTGGTGTACCTGTTGCTCGAATTCGAGCAATTGCTAAGTATTACAGGCGTTATTTTAAAACGAATAACAGTCTTAATTTCTGATGAATTTAAAAGATTCGACTCAAAGATTATGGAAATACTCAAGATGTACATAACAGAACATTTCTTGTAAATATCTTATCATTTTTCAAAAGCTGATCTTGTCTTTTAGCGTTTTCTACAAATAGCATTACTCATAGCCGCATTATGTTGTCCATAATAACAATTATGAATTAAAAAAACACATTATTTATATTTCTTGTCCTAGGTGGTGTTCTATGACTTTCCTATGTTTCCATAGTTTGCAAATCGGCTCTTTAAGTTATTACTAAGAAATGCAGCACAGGGTTAATTCATTTTTCTTTTTATTATATCAGTTTATCCAGGCTCTCTCGTTTTTTCCATTGTAATATTTACGCCAACCCAAATTCAAATAGTAAATATTTCAGTTCAACCAAGTAAGTAAATGTTTGTAGCAAACTAACTGTTAAATTAGCAAACTTATTGACTGTTTACAATAACATATGTTCTTCTTCTCACTTTTAATTCCTGACAACAGCTGGAGTTTCATAACAATATTTGTTTCCCATGTTAATCTTATGGAGAAATACAAAACTTTAAAGGGCCCCAGGGCCTCACCCTCTAATTATTTCCCTGAAAATAAAGTTTCCTGCACAACTTCACGTTACGCTCTTTCCATTGACACCAAGAATATGTCAATTGGTTCAGTAGTTTTGGAGGAGTAATTGTCACAAAAAACCTGCTTGCGTATTAAATTAAATAATTATATATAATATATATATAGATTATATAGAATATAGATATACATATAGATTACATAGATATATAGATTCTATTCTCTACCCTCCAACAGAGACTTTGATAATTTCATTTTGGTTATTCTTATCTACCCAAATCTAAATTGATCGTTATTTTAATTTAAACTGAAAACAGATTAAATGAAATTAGCTTGTAAAAGCTTCAAAATATCAAGCTTAATCGAGCTATGTGTTTATTGACGTATCCAGCTAATTGCTGTATAGTTCCCAAATCTCACATATGATATGAGAAAGAATATTTATTATTAGGTGTAAACATGTCCACCTGAAACGAGACTATCCTGAAACGAGATCCATAGATCAAGTGTGTAATAATGTAGCGAATCTATTTTTCTGTGTATTGAATATTTGCTTTATGACAGGGTCATCTGAAACACAGTTCACTAGAGGTAAAAGGGGGTTTCATTACTCCTACATTACCATCTTTAAATTCCTGTATCATTCTAGAGAGGTCGACCATTTATATTAATAATCCAGGACTATTTACATACCACGATTATTTACAGACATGCATAAATCCTTATCCCCAGCCGATATGTTCTTACGTCGCTGGAGACATTAACGCCCGGAGACACTGAAAGCGCGGGCGGTGCAGATGGATGTCGGCTCTGCCCGACCTTCAACTGTGTTTTTTGCCCACTCCGCGTGCCCATGCCCACGCCCCAGGCTGTAGTGGGTATATCTCACACTTTTTGTTATCACAATCGTCCACTGTGACGTAACATAGCGTTCGTCTGCGTCTCTTTGTCGCCATAGTATATATTGGGAGCGGTCCCTACCCGGTTATCAGTCTTACCTGTTCTCTCGATCCAAATGGCTTCTAAGACCGTCGTAAGTAATTCATATTTTACATAACATTTAATAATATATTCCATTATTCCATATTTTGATAAGTGCAAATTGATTAATGATTCCTGATTTTATACTGATTTAGATCATAATACTTGGGAGTATTCCTTAATCAGGCATCTGTCCTTAAACTAATTTAAAGTTTGATATTGGTTTTAAATCATTTGGAATATAATTGAACATTTTTTGGTCATTAAAAAGTTTTGAAATTAAAATTTTTGATATTTTTCATAAGCTGAATATAATAATAAAGTAGGCCTAATCTTGTTAGAAGATAGTATACATCAGCATACAACTACTTAAAAATAGACCAATTGCATATTGTAAGATTTTAAAACTAAATTTTGGTTTAATGTCTATTTCTTTTCAACTACTTAATTTAGTTACTAAAATATATAAAAAAAAAACTTATACCTGCTTAACTGTAAATTTTAAATTAACTAAATGAATTAGAGGTTCAATGTAAGGAGGTTAAGGAGGTTATATCTGAATAAATATTAAAAAAAATTGGTCCTCATTATAATGTAGATAAATAAATTAAACATGGTTTTTAATGGATGATGGATAGAGATGAAAAATATAATTGGTAAGTTAAAATACAAGAATTCCAATTATTGATCGCAAATTCAGAAATGTGTAATGTTTCCAGGTCCTCGTCCTGGCAGTGCTCGCCATGGCCGCTGCTGAGCAGCGCGTCAAGAAGCAGGCCTTCATTGGTAAGAAGCAATATGTAATACTTCGTAAATTATTTATTAGAAGGAAGAACATTTATTCACTTATGACTAACTCAGTAAGATAACAGGATGGATTGTAATCGATATAATGCCATTCTTGCACTTTTATTTACGATGTACAAAACGAGAAAGCTAAATGTAAATGTTATCAGGATAACTTTGATATTGTTAACTAATTGTATGTGTGCTACTTTTTGTATAAATTGTCGTAAGCATGAAGTTTTATTCGTTGTTTATAAAAGTAAACCACAAACTATCCTTGATTACAACTTTAATTCCTATCTGATTTAAACAATGTGATATATAACATAGGGGTTCTATTAACTCCACTAGGGTGTAAAAAGTTGTATTTACCATTCTAACATATTTTTTTTTTGCAATCGAAGTAGTGAAAACTTAACAACCGGTCATACACAAAGTATTTATTCATTTTAAAGAACAACTTATTATTATTAACTTGGGAGATTAACTCTAGATATTAACGAGTAACAATAATCCAACCACTCGATAATTAATTGCTTGTTCTCCAGCAGGAGCCTACCCCTACGCAGCCGCTCCCGTAGTGTATGCCGAGGATGATGGTTCTTACTTCCCTGGCAAGTACGAGGGTACCGGCTACCCCTACGCTGCTCCCTACGTTGCTGCCCCTTACGCTGCTGCCCCCTACGCTGCTGCCCCCTACGTTGCCGCCCCCTATGCCGCTGCTCCCTACGCCGCCGTCCCCTACCCCTACGTCGCCCCCTACACCGACGATGGATCTTACTTCCCCGGCAAATACGGACCTGAGAACCAGTAAGACTTGACCTCTCCTTGCCCTCCCCCATACCTTCCCTTCAATCCTTTCCCAACATAACTTATTTGTATATGGAACTATTTTGTTGACTTATGTACAATAAATTCTATCCCTCTTCCACAAAAAGTTTTTTTTTCTTCTCCTTACGTTTTTACGGAACAGTTGGCTATTAATTGTAATACTCATTTTGGTGAAGACGAAAACAACATTTTTTTATTTCAATAGGTTGTTTTACAGTCTTTTGGACCCGTAATATGGTAGATAATGGATTAATAAGATAAAGAATTAACGAAATGTTTAGTTAGTACTGTTGAATCATAAAATGATGTATGCAGCAGTGATGAATTGTTAAACACCTACTAATTGGTACACAATGTAAATATGTGACAATAACCATATAGTAATCCATGGTTGCTGTTGTGGTAACTAGTTCATTCTGAACAATTATCAGGCCACAAGGTGTCAGGTAATCACCTCTTTTGAAGGTTGTCAACAGAGTTCGAAAAATAGAACACACACAAGATACAGAAAAAACATACATATTTAAAAAAAATGTACATAATTAATTATTCGTTGGTATCCATAGTAAAAAAAATGTTTCTAGTTGGTAATGTTTCAAAAATTCAATGAATTATGCTGTAACTAAAGCAAACAAAACCTATAAAAAATAGATGTACCCCCTACGGCATTACTAAAAACAATTGAAAAGGTATAATCCCAGGCTAGGGAACCAGCTGATTATCAAGATTGGCAGTCAGCCACGTGGTAACGTCATATGATCAATTTCATAACCTCTGGAAATTAATTTAAGATAAAGATCTATTTTCTGAATCGTTCTAATATTTACGAGACCTGTGTAGGTAACTTTAAAAAAATGCTTCGTCTGAAATAAGTTTAATAGCTGCATTTTATTGAATTTGCCATGTTCAATGCATCGTTGTCACACGCACCTTTGTGCGTTGTGCAAACATTAGATGTTTTTGTCTATATAGATTTATCAACCTTAGACAAATTTAGACAAGTGTTAGTGATGTTTTCGAGATGGAGGTTCAAACAAGCAATCCTTGCATACTCATACTGTAGAGTAGGATTGTGAGTGTATTTATAGCTGTACAGCTACCGGTACTTATCCGGCAAATACACACGGCAATGGATGCTTGTGTAACAATTTCTACGACAGAGATCTACATAGACACTTGAGGTTGTCGCTGCTAGATCCTGTTGCCGGCCGAGACCTAGGCCTTGTCAGGTATCAGGAAGTGTCGCGGGCGGGGCAGATCTCGAGGTCGCTGGGGACGTGGACGTGGCCAATCACCGTGATTGCTTCTATTGTCACCATGGCGACCATTATACATAAGCTGATTAACTGTTCATCAACTGCTACACGAGTAACAGAGACAATCTGATAACATGTATGGTCAACTCAAGAGTAGGTCTAACGTTCGAGTTCAGCAGAGTTTTGTTATCGTTCAAAGAATGGGTATTATTTTATGGCCTCGTAAAATATGATACTCACAAGTTTTAGAAACTGAAATCATAATCAAAGGTGAGCTTGTAAAGAATGGGCATCTTAACTGGAGAGACCAAAATCACTTTGTTTAAATTCCCTTTTAGGTAAAGTTTTATTCAAACTACTTTTTAAAACTTACCTACATACACATGTTAACAATTACAAATGATTCAATCATACGATTGACTAAAAATTGTAATACAAATAAAAGTTTTAATCTACTGTATAACATGGTATAAAAATCCGATGGTTACTGTCAGCGTCAGCGTGTATGTGTGGGCGTGTGTTGTGTTACTCAATCACGTGAAAATTGCTGATCCTATTGAACTAAATGTTAGAAAATAAAAATAGCTATTGTAATGATGGATGACCCCTGTCCACTAGCTTTTAAAATTCGGAGGCGAGGGTTTTATAAGTAAATATTGATTGATTTCCATGGCTGCAATGAAAACCCCACAATGTTAACATTTGTTTTGAAATTTGAAAGTGGTAACAAGCAAAACTGTTAAACAAATTTTACTTCAAAATTTCACAGCTAACAACAATTCTTAATACCAATCTGTTCAACCATGTTGAAAGGTTGTTTATTCTAAGATTATAAATACTTATTACCATTGCTGTGTCTACCAATTGCTCTCTTCCAAAAATGTTAAGCATTTTTTAATAAATTTATTGATACCCGTAGATATTTCTTTGATAAAAATAGGATAGCTACAGTATACAGTATAATGTTTACTGTTTGAATTATTTAATAGTTTGTTGTTTGCAATAATTTCAAGCTACTTAACATGGGCTTAAATTGAGTTTTTTATTGATGTATTTCAAAAATGAAGAAGAGCTTAATGTAATTTTTGTACAATTCAAGAAAACTAATTTCTGCCCTATTTGTTGTGTTACACAATATTTTACTACCACAAATCCTGTTGGGCCTTGTCCAGATATTGCTGCTACTTATTTTAATTCTGCAACTGACTTCAGATACTACGACTACTAGGGCGGTGTCTTATCTTCGCACGTTGTTATTGTTTAATATAAAGATTTTTCGAAATGTATTCAACACTTGGCTACGTGGTTACTCAACAAAGTATTCACTCTTATTTTAACTTAAATTCTACTATACACTTCTGAACCTAGCTTTTTTACATGTAAAATAAATTTTTTGTTTGTGTTTTGGTAATCAGCTGTTTAAATTAATACAAAAAAGAATATCATTAAAATAAATTTGTAAAAAAAAAACAATTGTAAAGTGGCTTTTGGTGTATTTGTTTGTGTTTTGAATAAAAGGTCTTTATCAAAGGAATGTTTACTTTAGTATCCAAAAGTCAATAGCAAAACACTTTACGAACCTTACGTATTCCATACTAAATCAAAGGGCATTAAAAGGAAAATATTGTTTTGATAATTTAATTCTTCATAGCTAAGGTACTGTGATAAAACATTATGGTACGAACAACGGTTAATGTTGACGCTTGATATATTAGAGTAAAAAATAGTAGTACCTGAGGTAGTACTAACCAACTATTTTTATTTTTGGTTGTTTATTGTTTCACATTGTATTGAAGGATTTTGACTCTTAGTTTACAAAAAGCAGCCAAGTTTTAAACTTGTTTAGTTAAAGAAAGGTAGTAAAGCCATGTTTGATTTTTTTTTCGCTCTACGCCAAGCGATTCTTTTATGAACGATCTTTTATCTATTGACTTCAAAAAGAGGCAGGGTTTTCAAGTAAATACACTATCAGTTTGTAAGAAAAAATAATTAATTAGTTTTATCAGCGCATCATTGCAACTTATATATCGTACTTATTAGCAAATTAGTTTTCACCACTCATGTTAATTTAACTTTGAACTAAGAGAACCTTGATTTCTTCTTTGTTAAATTTTGTGTATATTATATAATAGTATATTTCTATTTTATTGTAATTGAAGGAATCTTTTCAAATATCGGATTCGCTTTGTTGATGTCATGGTATTGAGTAAATGTTGAGGATATTTGTTGTAATTTGTGTAAACGAGGAAATCTTCTTTAACATTTAATTATTTATTTTGATCTTTTCCATACTCTCGAATTTCTAAAACTTCTAAAATGTTATTATAGTTTTGTATTTATGACGTGTTTGGATGAGGTGCTCTGCGAAATTTGATTTCATTGTGGTCCTGTTTCCTGATTTTAAGGCTTGTATGTGTTCCTGGAACCATTTCTTGAAGCTAAGACTTGTTTGGCCAATGTAGGATTTATCACAGTCAGAAAATTGTATTTAATAAATACCTGATCTGTTCATATTCTTTGTATGGTGGTTTGATGTTTCATGTTTATATTATAAACATATATAACAATTTGAACAAATTGTGTTTTTAGCCACTGGGGACATTAAAATGAAAAAGTAAATCAGTCTCGGACCTAGGTCTTATGTGCCACCTACGGGAGTAGCTACTTACATAGGGAAATTCCCTAAAAGCTATAAACAATTAATTTTTTAACCATAAAATCTATGTCATACAGTTTATTTAAAGAACTAAATTGTCCCCTTCCGAGTTCTCTCACCGTTGCAAACGCAAGGTGTCGGTATAATGTCAACAAGCACTTTACAAATACTGTAAACATATACTCTGTACAAAAGATGGGTACTCTTCTAGTTAAAACTAAAATAATAGCACGTTTAGTATATTTTAAAAACAAATATGTATCGTTATCATGTATCGTGTTTGAATATGTAAGTCAAGTAATTTATAATAAAAAGCAAATGGAACATTTGTAATGAACTGTAAGGCATGGATACACGTCCACTCGATACATCTTTGACTAGAACGACTCACTTTAGGAACACTAAATTATGAATCACATGAAACATGTATGAAGGAACCTTTGTCTTGATATCACAATTTTCCTTATTTTGTTTTCTACGATATTTAGAAAACTGGGCATTTTACACAAAAAATAAAATTTGTGGTAAAATTATGGGAATTTGATAAATGTTACCTTTTAAAACTCTTTGAAAACAATATCCTATAATGTTGCACATGATATCAGTTCTTCAAAGAGTTACAGACCTTTGTCATACCCCTTTTAAATATTCCTGTTTGGCATTTAGAATTTAATAAAAATAAAATAATCGTTATTATACATATTACTATAAGCTTTGCGTTTAAACAAAATCAGGAAAATTAATAAAGTGTAGTGTTAATGTGTATATTGTATAGTACTTTATATGTTGGTTGAACCTTGATACGACGTATATTGAACAAAACAAAAATCTAAGTAGTATAACTTTGTATTACCTATCCTTTCTTTGACTGGTGTTGGTGTTGCAAACACAAATTATTTATCTTGATACTTTTAAACAGTTTACCTCAAGTAAGTTGTAGGGACAGTTTTCTTCGTCTACCTTGGTGAATGGATATTTTTATCATATTATTTCGCCTTCTTTTTGCCTTTCTATTTCCTTTCTCTAATCGATTCTAAATGCTGATTCATGTAAGGGCGCTCTCTGCTGCAGCTCCATGTGCGTACAGACAGTGGTTTGAGCAACTATCACGAATAGCCAATCGTGAGTGCTTAGTTCACAGACGGGTCTGCAGAAGAATAGCCAATCGTGAGTGCTTAGTTCACAGACGGGTCT